TTTTTTTTCGCTTCGCAAGAATTCTCACGGGACGCACCGGGCGTGTTGCATAGGTCGATTACGAAACTCCTGCGGATAAACCGCGTTATCGAGGATACTTTTGGCCCGTAAGGAGATTATATTGCGTCGGGAGTCCGGGACGCCTCACGTACCTATGTCATTCGGCTGTTATAACTGGGAACCCTCGGAGCGATGAATGATTCACTGGCATGGAAAAAAGGCAGCGTGAAAATCGTGAATAAGGAACTCCTTCGCGGATGATTCTTTGACATTACGGCAAGAGAGAGAGAGAGAGAGAGAGAGAAGGGGGGAAATAATGAGTGAGATTTAATTATTTTTAAACATAAATCAATTGATAATGATACACTGAACGCATTTATTTAGTTGTTTTTATAATCTTCTCTCACAATTATATTTTTATATTTTTCATTGATTATTCCGGATGTCTGTTTACACATCTGCTATACATCCGGCTTACTTCTTTTTTATCTAAGACCTTAATCTAAGACTTTCTTGATCTAAATACTCCATATTCATACTTTTCTCATTAATCTCAAATATATGTTACAAATTATAAATGTTCTTCTATCGGAGAGAAAAAAATCATCAAGTTTTTCTAACTGTTTGATAAGATGAGAACTCGGACAGAGTTGAAATATATTGCCAATTTTCGGATATTACAATTTTGATCTGTGCAACTCTAAGTCCGTATATACGTTACAGGAAGAAAGTCGCAAAGCGCCATGGAGGGGACGGAGGTTACGTTTTTATTCCAATTTGGTCTGATACGTGATACAGTCACGGTCGATAGCAGCACGCTTACTCTTAAGGCCCTGAAAGATCTCGCCTGTGATTTTATAAACACCAAGTGTCCAGAACACGGACTGAATCATCTGTTTGAGAGATTAATTTTGTTCAAACACGATTACAATTCCACTAATGTATTGCAACTAGTTACAAACGCTACGGAAGTGGTTGACGAGACCCTGGTGGAAATCGTGTTGACTGGTAAGAGAAGCTCCTACATCGCAGCGATTTTCACACACGATTGCCCGCGCGTCGCACAATACGTGATAATTATGGAAGACAAATTGTTTGTGATATTTTAGCACAAGTGCCAAACGAATACATTCCCATTCGACCTCATGCCTTAGCAGTACATTCCTACAAAGTTCCGACATTCTGCGATTTTTGCGGCGAAATGTTATTCGGGCTTGTCCGACAAGGTCTCAAGTGCGAAGGTATATAAATTCATGATAAATATTTTATATAAAACTTTTGCCATTTATAAGTCAAGTATATATACGTTTCCTTAGGTAATCTTTGCTATCTAATAATAATTAAAAAACCGTTTGCATAACTTTTTAGGTTGCGGTATGAACTATCACAAAAGATGCGTCATCAAAGTACCGAATAACTGTTCGCAAGATGCGAGTCAAAGACGGCGCAGCTCGGCCATGCTGAACGTACCAAGATCGCCGAGTCAGGGTTCCACTAGCAGCCTGACGAGCAATACCGACGATAATTACAGTTCAAATAGTACACTCAACACAAGCCAAAATAATAGTACATTGGTATGAGCGAAAGTACATATATCGTTCGACTTTAATTTAATGTATACACTTTTGAAAGAAAGAAAAAACAAATAAATACGGCTGATATTTTTCTTATTTCTTTTTATTTACGAAATTCGTGTGTCTGAATAAAATATATGCTATCTTGTAGGCAATACCGAGTATAATAGCACCAAAACAGTCCTCCTCGCCGATATTGGGAGGGCGACCCGTTTGGGTCGAGCGAGAGCTCGCAACGCGAATAAAAATCCCGCACACATTCGTAGTGCACACGTACACACGTCCGACTGTATGTGGACACTGTAAAAAGTTGCTAAAGGGTATATTTAAGCAAGGCCTTCAGTGTAAAGATTGTCAATACAATACGCACAAAAAATGTATGGATAAAATACCAAAAGACTGTACTGGGGAAAATCCACGAGATAATATAGGTAGAGGTGCTTTGCATACATAAATTTTTAACAATTCGTAGTTTCGTATGTCGGATGTAATAAATTTAAAAATGCTTCCCTAGGCGAGTACACGGATAGCGGTGTTGGCAGTGAGCTAGAAACCAAATGTGATACTAGGAATGAAGAAGCCGATGCTGACAGCGACACGGAATCATCGCCTTTAATACAAGATGCGTCGTTCACGAATAACGAGAATAAGATATCCAGTGATTATCCCGTAAGTTTAGTCTTTTTTCTACGAATGTCTGTAAAGTCTCAAAATGGAGATGATTTTCGAAAAGAAGTTTCTTAATATTAAATTGTGTGTTTACAGGATCATCCACGATATAATGATAACGTTGCTTGTGATGAATATCAGAAATCACGACCGTCAAGGCAAGTTTCTGTTGTACTATTCGCGTTTTCAAATTTTATTTTTATTTTATGCGAAATATTTTATCTAGATACGTCATTTTTCTAATATTACTTTTTCTCTTCCTTTTTATAAAAAAAACAGCTGTAATTCAACACCAAGTAACAACATTCCATTAATGCGGATAGTACAAAGTGTGAAACATACTAAAAAACGTGGGTCTAAAGTATTAAAAGAAGGTTGGATGGTGCATTTCACAAATCGTGATCCAATCGTGAGTATTCAATATTTTCTGATATCATTTAAATTATTAATTACTGAATATAAATATATAGACTCGAATGAAATTATTTACGAATCTTTTCAGAGAAAGAAACATTATTGGCGGCTTGACACAAAGTCTATAACGTTATTCCAAAGCGAGAATGGTTCTAAATATTATAAGGAAATACCGTTGGCTGAAATTTCAGCTATTGAAACTGCAAAGACGCCTCGTTCATGTATGTTCTTGCAAACGAGTTAGAAGTTATTTCAGAAGTTGTTTTTAAGTGCATTTTCCTATTTTCTTCTTAGTTTTTTTTTTTTTTTTTTTTTTTCCCAAGAATTTACATGTCAACAAGCTTTCTTTAGTTGAAACTTCTCACACATTCTGCCTACTTTGTATTGTAGATATAATGCATTGCTTTGAGCTAAAAACTGCCAATGCCGATTACTATGTCGGGGAGGATCCATCATACGGAGAAAATTGCGGACAAGTCTCTCCTCCCGAAAGTGGTATCGGAGCTCATATAGCTAGATCGTGGGAAACTACAATTAGACAAGCACTTATGCCCGTAACTGTGTCGAATAGTATGTATATTTGGTTCGCTATCGTGACACCCTTTGCAAAATGATAACACAAGATCTTTTCCGAGCCTTTTATTAGTTTATATTTTACAGTTATCTTATTATTTAAATTACATAATAGTGTATCTATATTGAATTGCATTATTTTGTTTCTTGGAGATAAATGGTAGTACAGAAGGTATTACGTTTGTGTTATAGATCAAGAAGAACCTGCCGAACCTAATGAACCCGAGGAAAACGTAACTGATATGTCACAATTGTATCAGATCTTCCCGGATGAAGTTTTGGGATCCGGACAATTCGGCATAGTTTACGGAGGTGTGCATCGCAAGAGCGGCCGCGCGGTCGCCATAAAAGTCATCGACAAGCTACGTTTTCCCACCAAGCAGGAAGCCCAGTTGAAAAACGAAGTAGCCATCCTGCAAAATCTATCGCATAGCGGAGTGGTGAATCTAGAGCGTATGTTCGAGACAACAGAACGGATATTCGTAGTGATGGAGAAATTGAAGGGCGACATGCTGGAAATGATCTTGAGCTCCGAAAGGGGACGACTCAGCGAACGAATAACCAAGTTTCTCGTAACGCAAATTCTGGTCGCGTTGAAACACCTCCACAGCAAGAACATCGTGCACTGTGATCTGAAGCCGGAGAACGTATTACTGAGCAGCGACACGGATTTCACCCAGGTGAAATTATGCGACTTCGGATTCGCACGGATAATCGGCGAGAAGAGCTTTCGGAGAAGCGTCGTCGGCACGCCGGCGTACTTGGCGCCGGAGGTTTTGCGGAATAAAGGTTACAATCGATCATTGGATATGTGGAGCGTCGGCGTCATCATTTATGTGTCATTAAGTGGCACCTTCCCCTTTAACGAGGAAGAGGACATTAATGAGCAGATCCAGAACGCTGCCTTCATGTATCCGCCAACTCCGTGGAAGGAAGTCTCAAGCGATGGTAATTAACACTTTTGTTATTTCTTCGTGGATTGCTTTTAAAGAGCAACGTAATATTGGCATACAAAACATATCATTTCTTTCTAAATAGTATAAATTAATATAAAATTGTTTTCACCTTATTTCTCCATCTTTCAGCCATTGATTTAATCAATAACCTTCTACAAGTAAAACAGAGAAAGCGGTACACCGTGGACAGAAGCTTGCAACACGTGTGGTTGCAAGTAAGCATTATTTTCATATTTTATTCGACTATGTTTATCTAATTATTATTAATTATTTAAAAAAAATTTTTTTTTAAGGATTATCAAACGTGGTGTGACTTGAGGAAATTGGAGCAGAAGGTTGGCTATCGCTACCTGACCCACGAAAGCGACGACGCACGTTGGATGGCGTACAGTAATCAAGAAACATGACAGAACTGTTCGCCCGTTTTGAACATCGAGGCATTACCGACTTCCTTGTCACTGCACAAAGGCTGGGCCCGATATGCTCGAGCTACTCTACGGCGATTTATTCGTGCCTGACTCAGTAAAAGTACGTAAAAATTAGTACAACTCTGTCTTTCGGACGATATTCCAAATAAGTCGTTCTCCGTTCTAGAATGGAATCGACAGCGGCATTCTGAATTTGCATTTCGGGATATTGCTACTTTCTCCAAAATGCTTAATAGCATTATTAAACATAACATTCAGAAAGCTTCCATAACGTTAACATTCCCACAAAGTGATCCTAGCACAAAAGGATTTTGATTCGCGGTATATTATATACGCGTAGTGATAAATATAAAAATGATAAGTGAAAAACGCTACGAACAGTAGCCTTGTTCGTGAGACATTTGAGACCGAAATGCCGCGGTTTAACAGATCTTACCAAATTCCATTTTAAATATCTACTTCAGATTTTATTTGTAGAGATATGTCTCTATGTAAGCTATTTAAACTACATTATAACTATGTAGACATTTTTATTGCTTTAATTCTAGATTATATATTTAGAATAACGTTATTTTATAAAGCATTTTAGATGTTTTATAAATTTATTTTTAATTTTTATCATGCTCTTTTTGAGGTGACTTTATTTTATTGATATAATTTGCCTTTTTAATGCATAATGATAATTTCGAATTTATTCCTGTGTACTAACTTGTAACTTGTAACTTGCAATTTAAGATATACAGGGAATTCAATTAAAAACTTTATTTGTTGTTATAGCAGATTAATAGTGAATCTATCTAACCCATGCATAGAATACTTTTTACATAAATCAATTGTTTTAAATCAGTATATTTTTGTTTTGCGTTAATACATAAATATATTTTCTTATTTATTCTGAATTAAAATATATTACTAAGTTATTGAATAGAATTTATTATGGATTATAATAATTGCAATGATTAATTTATCATTTATTTCAATATTTATGAAGAAAACCCACACAAGCTATACTTCTAAATCTCAATTAATTTTTAAATATTCTATGTATGGGTATAGATATAATCACTGATGTTAAGGTGTACAGCGCACATCGTATATAGAAGTTTATATCGATCAAATAATTTATATTACGATATAATTTAAATATTTTTATGTATTTTTACATCTTCAATCTCTATATATTGTGTTATAATTTGATCTGTTTTAAATATTTGGAAAAGAGATTATTAGAAAAGAGATTATTAGAAAAGAAAAAAATGTTATCGAAATTTTTAAAGATCTTTTAAAAGTTAAGATTTGTTTTATATAGAGGACAGTCCCCTATTATGAGATGATTGCCGGAAATTTATGTGCAGAATTGAAAAATGTATAATAGGCGAGTGCACGTACGATCGAATAATGAATTTTCTACTAAACAGGTTTTACTTTAAGGGCAATAAAAAAGTTCACGATGAAACTAACAGATAGAACCTATTAGTTAAACAGAAACCTAGCTATCGCATATTAGAAGCCTATATATCTCATAATAGGGGATTTTCTCCTCTATACATTTTAAAATTTATAAACATCGCTTCCAAGTGATACATGTTTTATATAAAGACAATATAATCATAATATATATTAATTTAAAATATAGTATATATGTTAATATATGTTAATTTAATGTATAGTAAGGTGATATGGTATCTCAATTTTTGTTAGCAGCAATTGGCGAATCTCTATATTAATTATCCAAACTTTATAGCTTTAAAAGAAGATATATTAATTTCTCTTTGCGATTATTATATGATATTAAAATGTCATGCGTTGAATGAAATGTATGGGGATACTTGAATGGATACTTAAATGCGGCGGCTACATATTCTCTTTCTAAAATTTTCTTAGCGATAGCATGGAACAATGATTGTGTCAGTAGTCAATATGATAAATGAAGTTGACTTAGACTAGCAAGCTAGAAATTAGTATTATGCGAGAACTTAAAATTATTAAGATGGTGCAAAACAGATTTGTCGTGTTTGTTAAATAGAAACTCGAAAACAAAATCGCATAATCTTGAAACTATTTTTATTAAATAAAATAGTTACATTAATTCCAACACGTTTTTTCCATAGAGGAAAACTCCTCTAAAGAATATCTTTTTTAAAGAAGATTTTTTAGATCAATAACTCTATTTAAAACGAAATTTAGTTTTTTAAAAAGTGACGAAGTTTTTGCACCACCCTAGTAATCGATTTATTATTCAAATAAACTTATTCGAAATATTTCACAATTAGATAGCTGAGACCAATAAGGTGCAATTTTTCCGGAGGAAATATTTCTATATTTAATAACTATTATATAAGGAGAATATATTCGACTTCGAATAGTTTGGTACGCATTCGATCGTAAATTGGCATTATATACCCTTAAAAACGGCCTATATCTTTAACAACCTTTATAAGTAGTAGGGTAGAGAATCATTTCTCGTTTTGTATTGTGTAAACACAATAGTGCAATTTTCACGTTCATTAAGAACAGAGTAAATATATCCAGTAAGGATACTACAATGCAAAATGACGATAAACCATAATCGATATACTTGTAATATAAGAGATATAAAGGCGCGCGCGCCAGCAGGCGTTAATTATTATATTTTATAACAACTTTTAAAAATTTATCGTAATCTTATATCTGTAGAGGATATCGTAGATCAATGTCTTGTGCGCATATTACACGCGTCTATATACTTAAGAATCTATTTACGCTATGCAAATGTAATCTCTAAGTCGTGCGCGCGCGAAGCCAACTTCGCGCTCACGGGAAACGCATTTACAATACTCGACGCATTTAATACCAGGCATTTAAACGTTCTTCCCGCATAAAGAGGAAGGAAGATACTCTAATGTAGAAACAAACGCTGTTATCGTAATCTCTTACATTTACTATCGCGCTAATCTTATATATGCTTTTACGCGTTCGTGGTTCGAAGGCAGGATATACCGTATGTATAAGCAACGTTCATACTTAAAAAAAAAAAGAGTTTTATTGACTCTCATGTAATTGCACACAAATTTGACTTACATTTTATTCCATATTTTAAGCGGAGAGAGTTAGTACTTTCTAAACCAAGACAGTGATGTATCGCGCAGTTAGAAGATGCATATACTTATTACGCAATTTGATACTCCGAGAGAAGAAAGGAACAAAAAATCATCGCGTTATCGCAAAGCGCAAACGTCTTGAACGATAATGGATTGCCGGCTTATGTACTTAGTGCCAGGTGAAAGTCCGAATTTATATGCTAATTTGTTTTTGTCGTAGCATATTAACGAGGGGTAATCGTAACAAGCCCGATTTATGTACGCGCGCGTTTCTCCTTCGTAATACGTTTTAGATCGAGCGAAAGAGAAAATGGCTTTTCAGTGCCACGTGTGAATTTTGATATTAAATTGATTTGTATAATATCGCTCTAAGCCTTCTATCTGAAAATGGTACCAATAAACTCGGAATTTGCCTTATCTCATCCAGAAACTAATGCTCTCCGTTATTTATTCTCCGCAAATTCCTCCCTGAAAATCCTCTTTCTTGGAAAATCACGTCTCGTTACCGCGAAAGAAAGACAAATTGAATTAGCATCATGCGAGATAATAATGATTAAAAAGAAAAAGACATAAGGAAGCGGCCTTTTCCGTCGAACAACCGTTCCCGGCGCGTGAGCATCATCGGCCGTTTCGTTCTCTTTAATCCTAACAGAACATCTCTGCTGGAAATAATGATGTCCCCTCGCGCGTGTCACCTGCGGCATGTCCATCCCCAACGCCGGACAGTTTCTTCCGAATTACAGATGTGCAGTAGGGACCGAGAAAATTCGCGGTGTTACTCGATTAAGAGACACCCGCTCGCGCCCGAGAATGAGATGCGTTACACTCGCGGCGATAGCGTACGATAATAAGTAACGTTACGCGTCCAAATATGTTCGTGCGCGACGCGTTTTGCGCTCTGTGCACCGTTCTACTTTGCCTGAACGTTAACGTGGCAGAATGGGTGGACATGCCGCAATTCTCGGACGAGACCAAGATTTACAGGTAAGTCGGTTACACATCACATTCTCTGGATCATCCTAAGATTAATATCGCTTGTGTGCTCTTTAAGGATACCTTCTGTACAGCACGATCAGTTTTACAAGTTCAGGCGAGGCGACGCGGACAGCATTAATTTTCCCAACGGTCAGCGAAACGGCAGCCAAACTTATCGTTATCCAGCTGAAGCCACGCGTGTGACGCATAATAAAAGGATGGAGATTAAAAGGATAAATTCCATCGCGATGTCGACAACGCCGGCGAACTTATTTCCCGATCAAATCGCCGACAGTTTCGCGGACACCGGTACAAGTCGCACCACAATCATCACCGATACCGTGACCGAGGTAACGAAAGGACGTTGGATAAAGAGCTGAAATTAATAAAAGACAACGTATACATATAAAACAGTGTATTTGTTCGATTAGACACACTATAGATATGTTTCAGAATAAATTAAATAACAAAGACGATGCGACGATCTCACCAATAGAGGATACAATGATTAACACACTTACGACTCAACCATCACCGAATAATAAGCAAGAAACATCGCGAGATAAATACGACAACGATACATCGCAGCAGGACGACGGTATATTCCAATATTTGCCCATAGACCTACTTAAAAGTGTTCACCGTACTTTACAATCGCAGCCAGGGTCGATCGAGGGAAAACTTTACTTTCTTAAAACGTTCGAGAAAACATTGATGTCAGAGATTGGTAAAATTTGTTCGTACACTCTCCTTATTGATTTCGAGACGCGAAAAGTATTCTCACGTTATCTTATTCACAGAATCTCGCCTTACCACTTCTATGGCACCGAGTCGCAAAATAAGAGGTGCCGATTATCACGACGATCACGACGACCATTCTTTAGGATTCCCTTCGACAGAAGGCACACTGATGGCCATATCGTTTCTCACGTTCGCAGTTTACCTCGTCCGATTAGTCATGGTAACGAATATTCTCCTCGAGACTGATCGTTCAACAATTAGTCCTAACTGTAAAATTGCACTCTACCTTTTTGGCGTATATATTACTGATAAAATAAAATCATTGCAGCTGCTTCTCCGGAATATGAACATGCCTACGACCACTACAACCGCCGCTACAGTGTTTCTCGGCAAAAGAAAAAGATCCACCGATCTCGATGACGACACCGCTAGAATACTTAGCAACATTAATAGTTTCGTTCCTGATTTTTAAATTGTAATATAAAATAGTGTGTTACTGGTGGTGGGAACAATTGAAAAATGAGTGATTCTACATGAAAAAGTATGTCAAAAATATACAGCAAAATTTTTTCATACGATGCTTTATTTCCGAGAAAAACAACTTTGAAATTAAAATAATTAAAAAATTTGAAAATTTTATGTGTGTGCCTATAGAAAAAAATTGAAACTTATCCGACTATAATAATAATTCCCCGATTTTCATCTACTTCTGTAAGAACAAAGCCTTGTATGAAAAAATCTTACTAGGATATTTTTTTTTTATCTCTAGCTTTCTTCACATAAGATTAATCCTTTCTCGATTATACTTTCTATTAACGGCGTATCCTATATATCTGTAGCTGAAATTAAAGCGAAATGTACCAGCAACATACCAACGTATATATCTCACAATTAAAATCGATTAATTGTTATTAATTAGCGCCATTTTTCATACTGTTAGTCTTGACGTACAGAATTCATTATTTCACGGTAAACGGCTGTTACAACTTAGCCGGTACATCTATCGATGATGTTGAAATAATTGAAGGCAACGCGCCGACGTAGCTTTCCGCGGGACGTTGTAACGGTAATTCGCGCAATGCACCGATGAGATGCGCCAATTTTGCTTTATCCGTTCGGTACGTACTGGTATGTTTATGATATGCGATGATATCTTGCGATAATAAACTAGACCATGTTGTGTTATACAAATCAAGAGATAAACAGTAGGGATGTTGACACCAATCTTTAGTCTCGAATATTAATCTTTCCACTTCTTTCTGCATTTCGACGAGAATCGTTCGATCCGTGAGTTCGGCCGACGTTCTTTCAGTCCACTAAAAAAGAGAGAAAACATCGTTTAACGAACTGTCCCTCATTAGATTTAGAGTTTCTTTCAGAGATAAATTCCTCTTACCTCAGACAATAAGATACACATCACATATATAACGTCTATGAAAGGTAATATAACATTATGCAAGATAGAAAATAATTTAGTGTTATTTCCTATAAAAATTAAGTCATTCGCTGTATACAAGCAGTTCTGTGATAGCAATATATTCAACGACTCTTCCCACTCTGTTTTGATTAAAGCTCTGTCTTCAATCGGACGCATCACAAACTCTGTGCTGAGTAGTCTTCTTAATAGTTCATATCGTTCCAAAGCTACTTCTGCAAATAAAATATGAGACTGATAATAAAACTATTGCTTTTCTTTATCAGTGTAAAAACTATAAGAAATTTAATCAAATAAGTCTTTTGATAAATTTATTATATTTGGATGGAAAAAATAGTAATTACTTTTTACCTTTTGTATTTTATTATTATTATTATATCAATCACTAAATAAATATAAATATTCATTGTTATTTGTGTTTGCATTACCAGTTTGGGTGCCATTCTCTCCTACAGTTGCAGTAATGAAAGCCGTTTCCGCCAGAAAAGCCAAGGTCGGATTGATATAAATTGCAATGTTAATAGCAGATACCGCTATTTGCAGAGTCCGTTCAGACAAAGGATGTCCCTTGATATTTGAATGATTTATTTGTTTCGCTCCTTTATGCCTTTGTTTGATCTTTAACGTGTTCGATGAATCAAGCACTATGAACTCGTCATGCGGTTTTAAGGATTCCAATATTTCCTGTTTGGTCCTATAGTTATCGGTACTGCAACAAACAAATCACATAATGTATTCTGAAGGAGATTGTTAACAGTCATTTAAACGTATCTACAAACTTAACTTACAGCTAAGACAATTAATGAGATTGAAAGCTAAAATGATTAATATTGTACATGCATATTAATTGTCGTAATTTCAAGTTACATGTTGCAGAAAAATAAATCTAATACTTACGTTTCAGTTTCATATATTAAAGCTTTTAGTGATCTAGTAACAAAGCTTTTAAACCACTGATAATCTTTGACCAATGAATCAAGCGTATACGGCTCCTTTGGTTTCGTCTGGATTCTCTCATTGAGAAGCAAGGCTATGATATTGATCGGCATAAGTACAGTATTCTTCTTGTGCGATTCTATTATAAGATAAGCTATGTTCTCCACAACAGACGATGGAATTTTGAAGGAAGGCTGTAGAATTTTCCTTTGGCGGTATGCCTTGTCCACGAATCGACTGGTGGATATCGGTTCCCCGATATTAAAGAAAATACGTCCGTGAGAGAAGGGTTTTTGCAGAATGGAGAGCGACCGGAACAATCCGGCCGTACTTTCTTTCGGCTTCGGTACCCCGAGCATTTCGTAAACGAATAACAATTCCTCCGGCGGTCGTTCGTAATTAATACTCATGGGTACAAAATGTATGTCAGGTACGTCGCCTTGAAGCAAACTTTCTACGATGATGGACAGAAGACCTGTGAAAGAGCGACACGAGATTTAATATCGATTCGTAATTGGAAATTATTTGAAAGTCTTTTTCTTGCCCACCGTATTTCGGCATTGTGCTCTTCTGACTACGGCTTCGCGTACCCTCGACAAAAAATTCAATTGCCCTATCGCTGTGGCTGACGATAGTGTTGATATACGAGCGGAAAATTTGCTTGTACAATATGTCATTGGAGAAACTACGCCGTATGTAAAACGCTCCGGTTTTTCGCAGCAGTTCTCCCACTATCCTCATGTTATAAAAATCCATGCCGGCCGCGATATTCGGCAGCGCCATGTCGTAGGAAAAGAGAATGTACGACAGGAGAATAAAGTCCAAGTAACTTCTGTGTGACGGCACGTAGATGTACTGTACTTGAGATATTCGCGTTTTCCTCTTCAAGTCAGAGAGCATGGTCTCGTTTATATAAATTTTCGAGAACATCCTCTTCATGGCTTTCGTGATAAAGATACCTGAAATTTTCAAACACAAATTTAAGATATTCAGCAAGGGAATAAATTTGTACAATAGTTTGTAATTATTGAATTAAAGTTGCAACTTTATTTCGCTGAGATAATGAACGCGAAGCATCGTTAACTGATGACAAATCACACGATAGTCTTTCTAACTTTTGAAATATATGTTAGAAGATGAAACAACGAACGCGTACGTGGAATTCAAGATAATACAATATTCTAAGTATATACCTAGCCAGCGAACCGTCGTCAAATCCGCTTTACTGGCCATCTCGTTTATCATAGCACTAGCATTATTCTCAACATCCTTAACTCTGACACCAGTCGTCCTCGCTAGCGTGTCGATTGCAAGTCTGACTTGCTCGTCGTGCAAAACAGCTTGTATGATCTTCTGCCTGTCGTAGACCGACTCCGGTGGCAACATGTGCGGTAAGGACGGATCCATGGAACGTGTCGCCCACAAAAAATCACAATCCCTCCGTCTGTCCTCCAGCAAGTCGACAAACCCGGTGTTCTGCTCCATCTCGCCCGGCCTATATGACACTCGCCGACTTGTTACTCACTGTACTCCGAATTGCAATTATTTGCCAAAGGCCAAAATTTGCAAGACAATCGGCTTGATACCGTCGTTTTTAAGAACACGATTTAAAGCGTCCGACCGCCAGATTCATTTCAAATCTCACGTGACGCGAGACTTCATTCTAATCTCTCACATGATAAGAAACCTCGAAGATGTCTCTTGTGCATAAACAATAAAAGATAAACTGTCTCGTCAGTTTCGACGAGACAGTTGTGTAAATAAATAATTCTTTCTATATATATAAAAAAACCCACATTTGCGAGTTGACGTTACGAATTGAAACTGAAAGAAACCTTTTCCCGTTATATACTTCGTCACATCTGTTTCTCCGAGGAGAGCGGGGAGATAGTATTATTGATGCCTCATTAGTTATCAATTGTCATCATTAGCTGCCCTGGTGTGCCCTGGGGTCAGCCCTGGTGCCAGCTGGTCACCGCGTCACCGCCATCTTGGAATTCCTGGAGCATGCTGCAGAGAGCTGCAGTTATATTTTTTCTTCACTCGATATCTGCACTTGGAACGAGATAAATATCGCGAGATAAAATATTAAACGTCGGAGAGAGAGAAAAGGAGGAAGGTCGAACAATCGAGGTGTGTCCACCTGCGAGGAACGAATTCCGTATCCGCATTTTGGTTAGCACGCGCGCGCCTTTAACTTCACGCCATTGTTTTGCAGGTCTGTTCGTTTTTTGCGTACTCTCCACGTTTTCTGCACACGAAACGAGACAGATACGTCAGGTGTCGGAAAAAGAGAGAGAGAGAGAAAGAGACTCAAGTGCGGAAAGGGCAAGTAAAACGAACAAGCCCTGCAACGGTAGACTTTTTAGACATTGGCGACACTGCGTGGAATTTTCGAAACATCTGAAGCGCGCGTTCGCTCCTCCACCCATGGACGTAAATATAATTGTTAAAAAATTAGAAATTATGACGCACGTCTCAATTCAACTAGTTTTACAGCAAAGTCTGTTTGACATCTAGTTTCGACATTTTCTAAGTAATATATAAAATAGTAAAAAAAAAAAAAAGGACAATCTTGCATTATGCAGCATGTGAGTTACAAGCTGAACAAGTATGATGAATTAAGTTATCGAACGAGTTTCACTAACCGTTCCTCAATAAACTCGTGTATTTTCCACGTCGCACTAATATGTAACGACATACATGACGCGCTACTTGCATGGTATTATTATCGAAAGCGTCTTTATTCATCGCACGTGAAAAAACATCTGGAATATTTGAATTGCTACACGACTCGACGTGACATGACGCAACAAACGTGAGAAATGTCGATAAACGCGGCAAGAATACAGAAAGTAGGTAAGTATAAATTATGAAAAACTTTTAAAAAACCTGGAAATCTATTTAAAAACAGAGAGAAACATTCGCCTCAACAATTATTTGTCTCCCCTCTGTTCCAGAAAGAGAACGCTCTTTGTAGAACGTTCCGCGCGAGGCCTCATTCTCGAAAAATATCGCACAAGATATTTTATCAATGTCACTAGAAAATCACACTTTGCAAGTGTGCTATTGGTTGCAAAGTGTGATATTCATAACATATCGTATGGGATATTTTTCGAGAATTAGGTCCCAGGGGAAGATAAAAAAAAAATGATGAAACCGACGTTCACAGATTCCGAACCGCCCGTTGATCGCATGAATTACCTAGCGAAGGGTCGAGGGCCATTGTCTTCGCACGTTCACTCCAAGCGAAACAGATTCAGTGTCAGCATGCGCCGATGAAAGTTAATATTGTTAATAATCACACTCCACACGGTAGATCCAGCGTTGAAGTTAAGCTCCCGTCAGAATTGTCAGAATCCGGAGTGACAGTGGTAGCACGTGGCTCGTAGCACGTGGCTCGGGAAAGGCTGAGTCGGCTGGGAAAAGCTCGCGCATGTGCAGCAAACGCATCCCGGCTCAATTCGTGCAACGTTACGCGGACTAGTTCGGACGTGTTTCGCGCGTAGACACGGACGACACGTTTTAACAGTGGAAAAACGCTGGCCGTATTGTCTTGTACTAGAGGCAGGAGCCAAACCTAAGAAGAAGAAGAAGCATCCCGGCTCATGTAAAATGGTATACACAGTGATACACAGACTCTTGGCGCCCATAATTACTATTCCGTCCTAGTTCAAGCTGTAATTAGTCACAATGAGTAAAAAAGAGAGCAGCTGGAGGGAGTAACGGATAACTAGCTAGAATAAAGTATTTTATTACACTGTAACAGCATACACGATTTCCGCTATGGTAGTCTCAGGTAGTTTTTTCCCCTTTATTATCTTGACAATATCAAAGGCATTACGATGGATCGTTTAGATGATTATCATATGTGTGTGATGTGTGTGTTATCGAATCTAATTTACAGTTACTTTAGGAAATTCATCCTGTCGTTTTACAGGAAGAGATATATACACGAAGCGTCTCTAATTCGATTCTTCCTGGCAATTACGTTCCGGTGACTGTTAAAAAAAAACATATATTAGATCAAATGTAAGTTAAGAAGTCTTCTTCCTCTGAGGAGGATGTTTTATTTGAAAATTATTAATTATATTTGAAGATTTGTTAATAAATTGTATTATTTTTATTGAATCTCGCAAAGAATTTCGGCTGTATGAATTATAATACATAAATAATAAAAGGTCCCCTTCGGAACGGAGTATCGGAACTTTGATCTAATAATAATTTTCCTGAACAGCCACTGGTATCAGAGACAATCGTGTGGAAAGATTAAAATTGTCATATCTATTTTTTATGTATAGTCCTCAGTTCATTCTTCACACGCACTTGTTTCCTATGCGACAAGCTACCCAAACGCTTCTATTCTCTACTTGATTGCAATTATGAACTCCAGGTATCAGTTATCAATGGTAGGTTTTATAAAAAAAAGTACTTGGAGCAATAGAATCGTGGCTCGTTTTGATTTTTGTATCGATTTCGTCGGATTGCTCTCCTAGTTGGTGTTTCACGTGAGTTGATTAAGAAAAAGAGTACAAAACATATAATACATTAGTAATTCGAACAAAGAACCGCTAAGATTATATTATAAAAGCGTCATTAGTCGTTGTCGGTGATCCAATACGTATACATATTGTAAAAAGATAGGCGCATATATGCAAAGTTTTTTTTTATTTTTTTACGCGAATATAAAATATGCAGGCTTAGAAGCAACGGGTTTGTCTTTTATTCTCTTTGTACTTTCAGCAACAGCGGATGGGTCGATTTGCTCCGTATAATATGTCTCTTAGTACTTATGGAATTGTGCTGAGACTTAGGCGAAATGGCTCGGAGTTATGTGGTTGAAGAAAAAGGTCAGCATAAACGAAATCTTCTCTGACATTACGTCAAAAATATCTGATTAACGCATTCGACGAGAAATATTTTTACAGTAAAAACAGATATTAGAATAAGGTATCGTTAAGAACGATTAAGACACGTAGCGCAATGTATGATGATCAAGGAACATTACGATCGTATGAAAATAGCGGTACAGCTGCAACAGCTTCATTTTTCTTGGAATTTTTTTCGATTATTTTTTACGTACTTATGCGCGGCGTTACTTATCGCGCGCGCGGTAACATATATATATATAAATATTTCGCGGACATATATAAAATATTTAGAATACACGTGAATTTGCATCTCCTTTTCTTTCTCGTAAAATTTATGCTTCGCCACTGCGAATTTTAAGAACGTAGATAAGAGTCTGATCTCAATTTTCGAATATTACTCGCGTTATCGTGTCGCTTACAATTTTACAAATTCCTTGCATTATACCTATATAGTTCTCATTCGGCGCAATATTTTAACTACTTTTCACTCTTATTATTGTTACGAGAGCCATGCTTAAGCGAAACGAAGTTTTTATCTCTCAGAGAATTGCTACACTCTATAGAATTGCTTACACAAGTGAGTAAAATATATGAACGGAATTAAAACGTTGCACAATTCTTTCTCGTTGTTTTATCTTGCACGATGAGATCTCTACGTTAGATCTGAATTGTTCCTTAATATTGTTAACGTCACAGTCGGAATAAAGCGAGCAAAGATCGTTTGTAGAAACTTGTGGCCATAGTTTCGCCATTATTTCGAATTCAATAGGTAACGTACATGTCGGCTATTTATCAGTAATGTTAATTAATTATACGATAATTATATAATACGACTCTTCGAATGCTCTCTTTCAAACCGACTTCTGGGATGTAAGTGTGCTAGCCCGATATAGATTCTTATCAAATTTTCTATTACTGTTTTGTAAATAGTTCTACATTTCTATCTGTGTTAGAAATTTCTAACATTTGATTAGCAGCATTCTGTATGGCTGAATAAATGTCTTTCGTTCGCATTTGCTTAACGGAATTAACTTTTTTTTTGTAGCGTTGTTTTCTCGTTATTTATTGTTACATAAAGCATGTTCATCTTTCCCATTAAAATCAGAATTTAACTCAACCGTTCACGACTTTTGAGATATTTATAAAATTATTTTACATCAACTCATTGTGAAAACATCGCGTGTGAGAGGATTCAAGAAAAGAAAGAAACAACAAAAAATCTGTGTTACACCTCGTACTTGTGTGATTTATGTGTAATTATTAAATAAATAAATATATTTATCTCTTTGGATCTAATGTTTCACAGCAAGAGTAAATCATTCGCGACGATATTAAAATAATCCACGCATCGTAAATGAGAATGAGGAAGTTTCAAACCTGACTGGTTTCTTATCTGATGAAGTTCATTTAAACTTTACACTCTGTCTCTTATAACAATAACAACAACAATAACAATGAGTACAGTAATTACGGTAACTGCGATTTCTTATAAATATTATTTCGTTCAGAGGGCATTATTACTGATTTGCAGGATTTGTGAGGAACATAGATCACGGTAAAGTTCTACATAAAATATGCTGAACGTATCCGCGGCGATGCAGTTGAATTCTTCGATGTCGAACGAAGAAGCGTTTGTAGATAAGCAAAAATATTTTGTCAAACAATTTGGACGCATCTGTATACTTTAATTAAATTAGATCAAGCATTCAGAAAATCGTTAAAAGATAGAGCGATAAAAAAAAGTCTTGTCTTTGGTCCCTGAACCTACGACTTGTACTTATGCTTAGCGCCTCGAGATTTTTCTCCTCTGATAACATATTGCGAGCTAAGAAGTGTAATCAGTGTGTAAAGGAATATACGCATCGTGTAACAAAGTTTAATAACACGTACTTATTTAGAAATCTTCATTTCTTATTCATGTGCATTTTGTTATATTTTTGCTCTGCTTTGTCTCAATCGTTTATATATCATAACTGTTTCAAAATATTAGGTTCAGGGAGTTCAGTTTTGTTTACGTAACAAATAATATTGAAGCGCTTATATCGATAAACGTTGCAGTTGGATTCTAACAAACAAAAAGAAAATAGATTTTGTTGATAGCGTTTAAACATTAACATAATAAACAACGTATGTACTTCGTAGACGGTTTTGCATACGAAATATATTGATAAATAAATCAATAATTGCCAAATACCTATGTTTATATAACTACTAATCGCATTATATATATATAATATACGTGCATATACGCAGAAATCACATATACACAAATATATATGTGAATATCTATCATGCGTTATTATGTAATTTTTATAATGTTCACTTCTATTTGTTTGACCACATATTAGAAAAATGCAATCATATGTTTTAAAAAAATATGAGGTATTTTAGCTTATTATTATCTACGCCTCGTATCTCTAATATCACGGTTGCCTCTTGAATTACTCTGTATATCGTGTTAAAATAAAGTTTTATAGGTTTGTGCAATACGATACGCTGATGATTGTGCGATACATAAAGAAGTTATCGACATAGTGGAGTTGACAGAGTTGTCAGATTGCAATTTCGTAAGCGTGATTCTGAAATTTATGCTTATTCCTTATTTGTCATACATATATTTATATACACGTATTATTGCGCGTACGTATTAAAAACGTGTAAACTTTAAAAGCATATCGAGTAATGCTATTTTATCCTTACATACTTTATCTGTCTTCGCAAAAGGCCTCGTAGTATGAAAAAAAGAAGTATTAATATGTAATATACTCGATAGTTCGAAACCTCTTCGAACAATTGAAGATTTCATGTATACAAGCTTTTTTTTTACTATTGCCCATACAAATCTTCCACTTAATCTCTATTTCGCAGTTCGATGTTTGTGGTTTGTTGTGTTTCCGACGTTTGGCCGTACGTTAAATATCTCGATCGTATAGTAAAATGTACAGTAGCGAAAGGACGATTATTAATTCTCAAGAACGTTTTTGCGCCCATTTCAGATCGTCGGCTCTGGGTTTACAACCGGTGGACCACTCGATTATCACTTCTAAGATGCACCAAAAGTGAAGTTTTTCTAAAGGCCAGTTCAGCCATCCCGTGGTGATGCAAAAGTAAGTCTCGTGGGGCGCGACGTGGTGCACGCGATGATGCTTTCTTGGCAGAATAATCCTGTGCTCTTGAAGCCATACAACCCAAGCAGGTAGACCGAAATACGTATGCGACCACTTGTGTATCTGTAAAGTACATTGTATATCCTTTAATTACACAACAGTATATGAAGCACCGTAATTTCTCGTGAACATTGTTTATAATTAAAATTATATATAGAGCATATCATTAATTCTCTAAAAGGTGATTTTACTATAATTAAAATATTTACGAGATATATTTTTCTAATATTTCTCTAATTAGATACTTACTTGATTAGTCATTGCTACAAAAATAGCAAGCAGGAACCAATAGCACGTCCACACGAACTTCTGTTGCATTTCCACTTCGGGCAACGTTAGAAAGTCCCATGTGAGCTTGGACAGGACTGGTATCGCGACCATAAAATTATCACCGTTAGTCTCTATAAAATCGTGTCTCGTTATACTGGTAGGATCTATGTGATGCTCGCGAAATGGTCGTAGAAAATTCTAGAAAAAGAGGAAAAGCTTTTCGTAAATTAGTATTCACGTTTTATTCTGAAACGATCGTTTCTACATTTTAGATGCCTTTACCTTCCCCAGAATCGGGAGTTCAACGGATCCCCAGGTATCCGCGGCCCAATGAACCAGACCAGAGCCAAAGTCGGCCGTGATGATACCGCACAGTGCAGCTATTGCTATGGAACTTAAGTTTTCCAGTCGTAACCTGATGAGCACGAACAGAGAGTTCACGGCTATAAGAGTGATACAGATCCCCACGCAGATGCCTTCTTGTGTTCTTTTCCCTGGAAGTTGTTAGTAAAATTTGTTGTTAATAGTTATCATAAATATATCTTTAATATATATAAGTATTTAACATATAAATATTTTCGATAGTATATGTTAAATGTAAAAACAGATTTTCGAAAAGTTTTTAAAAGTTATAAACGCTAAAATAGAAATAGTAAAAAATGCGTTCATTATCCTGCGTTCGCTTCTTTTAAATTCAATGACATACACACTTACATAAATAATTGCATACGTTGATAAATATTGCTGTTCTTTTTTTCTCGTGACAAAGCAAAAATTTCAAGATGTATACGATATATATATAATAGATTCTTAGCAACTCGTAAATTTTAAGAACAGCGGCAGTTTTATTATCGCTTTACAAATGGTTTCAGAGATACGAAACGAGGACAGCCGTTTTCGACTACAAGTACTCGCGATAAGGAAGTCTACGTACCAGTGCTATACAGATTCGCGAGTTCCTGGGCGCCTTTGTGATTCGGGCCCCATCTGGGCACAGTCCTGTCCTCCTGCGAGGTCGGCACCACCGAGTTGGCATTGGGATCGTCCTCGAGCATCGAATTTTCGTAGATCTGGCGCTCGGTCTTCACCGGCGCTAGGAAATTGGTCGCCAAAGAACACGCGGCCGACGCGGCCTGCTCTAGGTTCGGCACTTTTATATCCTCCATATTCTCCAGCCAAGAAATTCTTACGCGAGTCTACGCGAATGAACGACAATATTCTACCCTGCCCTTTTAGGACTCAGGCGCGTTTGGCAAAAATCGCCTCTTTTCCGGCATCAGGGGACACTATCGTTTCGCTTGTAGAAGGATAAATAATGCAATGGAGTTTTTTGTTCTTATACGCCGAATTATTTCAAGACGATCGTCACATTATGCGCCTCCTTCGGTGTCCTTTCCCCGTCGCATGAGAAATTACGCACTCCGGTCAGTGCGATAAAATCATGAATTGTCAGTTGGCGCATTATCCTGAGAGAAATTTAGAATTGTTCACCTGCAATTTAGTTCAGATCTCCCATGTTCTTCGAATATCGAACATTGCTGCAAGCACCTGCAATTAAATGAAACATTCGTATAAAGATGTGTTAGCTCCATTGCCTCTTAGAGGGAATGTCGACACTCATTGGTGCCTCGACGTTCCCTCAAAGCAGCAATTGACTCGAAACTCGAAGAATCCGCGGTTCAAGAGAAGCAGTGTGGAGTAATCGCGTTTAGCGAGAAACACTTTGTATATTATATATATATTCACGCAACGTCGACAACTGATATTATCTAAATTGATATTACTCGTTCATACATGATTGGGTACGCAATTATCGTCAAATATTACACAGTCGCGTACATCCATTACGTACGCGGTACCAGTTATTTACATATCATAATTGGGCAAGGTAATATCGTAATGAATGAAAGCCGTGCGCCGAAATACACGAAACTCTACTCAATTTCAAATTAGTCACTGCGCGACCGTAAAGTGGGTTAATTCCGTACTTACACGAAACCGTGGAACGTTATGTCTTCATATCTCCGCGAGTATCGCGTGAGTGCTCTCGGATTCACGCGACATTCACAACGACATTCGCGAGCCTCCTACGCTACGTTAAAATGCCTGCGCGTATTCTTGTACTAAGCGATTCTCGAGCGTGAAACTAACAAGTACATATTTGTAGGTGTTAACGCGTTTACGTGAGCGCGCAATACATAAGAATACAAGAACGTATTGATAATGACGCAGAACGTCGTAAAGTACCTGCGTATTGATAACGACGCAGAATATATCTACACGTCTATAAAATTTCTAATTTTAACGTAAAACATTCGGAATGCCAATTGATGGTTGGAGATATTCACATATTTTTTGTATATAATTACTAACTTTAACTATAATTACTTGTATATAATTACAAACTTTTTTTTTTAAAGCACGGATGCTTTAACTAATTTTGAATCGGTTTTTTAAATCAAAATGTTGAGATACTCGATAACTTTTAAGTTAACTACTGAAAATATACTGAAAATAAAATTATATTTATTATAAATTATATTTAGAGAATTTATTTTGATAGAGTTTCAATCTGAAATTTTGTCGCAAAGATATGTAATATTAGAAATTTAAAAACTGCAATAAATAATTATTTTCGCTAAAGGAAAATGATTTACAATCGGTTCGAAAATATATAGTTCATAGGAAGTGTATTTAATGAAGAACACTATACATATTTTTATATATTTTTGCAGCGGCGGATCAGAGCAAAAGCGTTCGGTGAAACAACTAACGATGAAAGGGAGAACGATGTCGTAGCGCAAAAAAAAGGAAAGATTTCTTCCTGCAAGTCCCTGCGTGACGCTCGAAGGATTCGGGCCCTTAGAAGACCATCGTCACACTCGCAAGTGGAAATCGCCGCTCGAATTGATTTTCGAAATAGGCTGGCTTTTTAATGCGTCATCGTCAAGGAATCGCGTGCCGGTGATTAAACCGAAGGCGAAGGGTTAAAGGCTCTCTCGCACAACAACGTAACCGATCAATTTCTACGCTACTACAGGCGTGTATCGTGTACGTCATCATCCTCACGCGAAATTCACATTCTCGTGTTGTGCAGACCCTCGGCTTACGGCTTGCTTTTGATGCTTAGCTTATCGCGGTTGGCCTGGTGCGCGTCGGTCCGCGCGATATACGCGTGTTATTAAATTAGAAAATCTTTACACTCTTTTTCTCTTACTATCACATTTGTTGTACATTCTCGGCAATACGTAACTTGCTATTCGATAATGAATACCAACGATTGTCCTTCGACGTGTCTTGACATTGCAAAAAAATTATCTTGCAATCTGCATTCATAATAATGATACATATCAAAGAAAATGGAATATATTTTCGAAAAAATTATTAAGTCCATTCATGTAGTTTTTCTGTGCAATTATAACGATGCAACTAATACGCAGTCTCATATTTAACGATGAATAACTTACAATAAAGTAACTAATCTAAGTTTTTTCTTTATCGAATAAACACGGGGGATAGGACCGTAAACGCTGCTGACGCAACAGATCTTACGCTACCGGACTCATCATGTGCGGCTGCGAAAACGAGATCAAAGAGAACGAAGGAGAGATGGACTGAAGTGTTCTCGTTTGATCGCGCAAGTCGTAATCTCCGTCGCATTGTACGTTATGTGTGCATCGTGTATCTTTCTATGGTTCAAAGGTTCGTACATATTTACGCACACACCACTTGCGGGCAGACGTATCTCGCGTTTGGAGCACCGCCGCGCGATGGTTGATGGTTATATACATATACAGGACTTATGCAGGAGGAATGGCATCTCGTCCATCTCGTTAGGATTCAAATGAAACACGAGTGTACGCGCGCGTATACACGTGCGCATACAGCACCAGCGTACACGCCTTTGCGAGCATTCTCCCGCGATGGGTAAGTGCATGCATTCATGTACGCATAAGCAATGAGTCACATTAGTGTTTGTACTGTCATCCAGCTTGTCCCATTCCATCTAGCTGCCTGACTTGTGACTTCGAGCGATTGATATCTTCGTAGAAGACAAAATATCATGGTTATACAATATTAAGATTTCGATTGATAGAAATCTTAATAATAAAAATAGGAATAAAAGCTTTACAGCAGAACTGACATCACTTTCTAAAAATATATATCTATATACATATAGTACGTTAAAATTATTTAAAAAGTTACTTATTAATTATTAAATCTAAAGCCGCTTCAACGCAATATTGGTTATTTAAATTAATAACAATTCTACTTGACACAATAAGTATCCAGTTATGAATATTTTTTATATCAATTTTCCAGTATTTTATTTAATTTTTTATTTCTGTTACAAATTATTAATCTTTAATAAAATTCATGTATATATAAATCGAAAGCTTTAAAATTGAGAAAAAAATTTTCTTTGAAAATAACATCGGTCATTTGAAGTTAATTTGCACCGTATGAATATTCTTGTGATTCATTGTGTATATGATCCGCTTGGTCTGATTGTGACAGCATCGCCATACATAGATATAACGCGCACTTAAACATTTTGCTCGTGCATTCAATGATGGGATCAGAATTTTATTAGAAAAAAATTGAAGGTATAATTTAAATTATTGATATCGATAGATTTACGCGATAATATCACTTAAATGCTGTCCGCACGAATGACGTTAATTATTGATTTAATTACACTAACAACGTGTCAATTTACGTTACATAATTGAAACATATAGATTCTGCATAGCTATCAGCAAATATTTTCATAAATAGAATTCGTAATGAACTCTGTTGTTTAGAGTTTGATATTGAATCTAATGACACTGAATCTTTTTAAATAAATTAACATGTAAATTGCTATTGGACTATACATAATGATATTTAACATATTTACCTTTGTATAAAAAAAAACTACACATATAATCCATTCCTCAATTACGAGACACAAAACACGCTAAACTCTCAAAAGCTTGTTCACGTACATAAAAGTAGCGGCGTCAGTGAAACACAAATTTTGATCACTGAGCGACCATAACGAGAAGGCTAAAAATAAAGAGTTAATTTATTTTAACACGACACTCTTCTCTCACAGGATTCAAAAGGATTGGCGCACGCAATCAACCACCACTTGTCCCACGAACTGACACATACGTCATTTCGCACGTGAGCGAAGGTAACGGCGAACTGCTGAAAGGATGTAGCTCTAACGAGGAGGCGGAGGAGGTACTTTACTGCTTAAAGAAGTTTGGATTCCCGATGGCGAGTTGGCGGCTAATCCAGACGAGGGTGAATCTGATGGTTGAACACGCTGTACACTCGCGCAGATATTCGATCGCACGCTCTTTTTTACTGAATAAGAAACTCGTCGTCGCGCGCAACGAGGATAGGCTTCGCGACGTCGTACCTCCTTGCTACCGTTGCCGCTGCTTCGAAGTGCCTCCTTGACGACGCGCGATGCGCGATGCGACAGCCATGCGAAGATCGGTCTCCGTCGCTGAGCTCAATTAGTCACCGGCAGGGTGGTTAGAACGAGACACCGGCGATAACGGTGACACAAGGGGAAGAAGATAGGCCGTCTTGCACCGGCACGGTGACACACGCACACGTACGCGCGCCGACGCATCGTGCGAACACGCGTGTGTATCCGCGGCGAAAACGTCTCACTCACTCGCCGGCTAATATAGTAGGCCGGCTCTTTTTCAGGCTAGGGTTCTGGCACCAGGATCGACTTAAGCGACGAAGGCTGAGTGTAGCCGGGTGAACGGCGAGCGATAAGCACCGCATACGAGAGAGTCTCCGGGCGAGCGTGCTGACGCGAGGAAAGCGACGGAGTGGACGAAAAAATATGAATGACAGAAAGAGAGACACGGGGAGAAGGAGAGGAGGCAATGGTAGAACAGGGTAGGAGCTAGCAGCGAGAGCCGCGGACGGAACGAGACGGACTCCTTTCGCAGTCTTTAATAGGAGCCGCGAGAGCGAGACTCACACGGCGAACCGAAGAGGTCGACCCGGAGCGACAACCGGTGATCTCCGGCGACGCGACGAGGCCCTTTTCTACTCTTCCCGTTCTGTCACTCGCCGCCCGGACCGCACGCCGTACACCGTACACTCCGCCACGACCGGCGCCGCCTGACGACAGCGTCGCGACGCCGTTTCTCGTGGCGCCGTCACGCGGTCGGCGCGCCTCGCGCCTCGTCGATGCGCGTCGCCGTGCGCGACGCGCAACTGGACGTACTGGGTGCACGTGTCCGTCGACGTCGCGTCGCGTACGTGTGCGCCGCGCTCCTTCCTCCTGCGTGTCTGCGTGAGGCGCGACGCGGGCCGCGCTCCGCTCCTCGCGTGCGACCGTCGCGTCGAGGTCTCCACCAGCCCCATAATTTCCCAGTCATTCGTCGGATTAACCCTTTCGCGGAAAGTGAATTCGCTTCGTTCTATACCCGCGTGCTTCCCCGCGTCCCTTTTTTATTCCGATTTCTAAACGAGCAGAATATTATTTGCGTAGAAAACTGTAATTCGCCTCGAAGTCACGTATTCTATATTCTACAATCTATTCGGTAAACCGCGAGAAAAGAGAGAGAGAGGGATGTCGAATAATTTTTTTCTCGATAATATATTTCGTTAGAATTAAGTTATCATTTCCATCTAACTCGTTATAAAGTTTACACAAACATTGCAGGCATCGAAACCTGAGACCTCGCATTTATATTTACGTGCTCAAGAGAATTATGAGATTAAAGCTGGTACCGTAAGGTCATTTAATGAAGCCTTTTGTAGTTGCAAGGACAATATGTCTCGTAGGTATCGGAAATCGTTAATGACGTACGTGACATATATCTATCTATCGATTTTATAATTTGGACGATTTCTCCGTCTACCTGTTAATCCTGCTGCGTCATTTATCCTCAAAAATACATACATCCAAAACTTGGACTTTCAATTTTTTATAAGACAGTCAATTATTTCCAGTAAGAATTAGTCGCTTACGTCTTACATAAAATCTCAATTATCAATAAGTTGCTTATAATTTACATTTTTCTCTTAAACACGTGTAAACATTCAATTCGCCAATATTTATATCTAATACATTCCCCTTTCGTATAATTTATCAGAATCGACCGGCCTTAAAAGATCGCGACTACATTATGCCTCTTACATGCTTATTTCTACCAACGTAAATTAACTTCAATCTCGGTTCAACTTACTTTTTATCTTTTCTTCTGTTCTGAAAATTAGAAGAAGATAAAGAGTAAGTTAAACCGAGATTAAAGTTAATCTACCTTGTGTCCATATTTCTACCAATGTAGATTAACTTTAATCTCGGTTTGGTTGATTTGTTATCTTTTTCTAGTTTTAAGAATTAGAAAAAGATAATATAAGTAAGTTAAACCGAGATTAAAGTTAATCTACATTGTTAAAAATGAACATTAAATAAGAAACTCGTGTTTTGGTACAATTTATGTATAACGCTCCGAATGTTTTAAACGCAAAAAGCGTTTAATGCATACACTATATAATATACATAGTATATAATTTAAGGCGAAAGGTACAATGCGTAGACTCGACCTTGAACCGAAACGCAGGTGGTAAGATGTAAAAGACCCTCGATCTCGCGACGTGACTCACGATTATTGTGCGTACATATTACCCTCGATTGTCCGGTGACTGTAACATGTGGATGTTTCACAGAACGTTCATACTTTATTTAGGATTCGATTCGGCCTTCATCGAGGGCGAGCCTCGACTTACCGAGCCTTACATTAGAGACACCGCGGATTATACCACGACACGAATGCGCTCACGATAACGAAGTCGAGCGCGCGTGGCCCTCCTCCCCCCCTCGACTCCGGCGGTCAGTATTCACATAGGAATTCCGCAATTTCTATCAAAGCCGATCGATTTCTAATCTATATTATAGCAGTTCGCTCGCGGAGGAACTTGGCCGTGGTGATTTGTCAATATTTGCGAGTGTCGACGCGACTCCGATCGTACCCGGGGCCGATCGCAACATTGTAACGGAGATTGATTTCATTCGCGTACTTAACACGGCCTCTATAGTAGACCGTTAATTATTTACGAGACATCACGTCGCACTTTTCGAAAGTGTAATTCTATCGCGGAAACTCCCGTAGATATAGAGAGAGAACTGCCACTAAACATTAAACATTTCTAAGCGTGCTTACAAATTATGTTTCCCCGGAAGAATGTTCCAATGTCACGATAAGAACGTGTAAATTCTTTTTCAGATGAGATATCCGCATTCCCTACTTTAGAGATTGCGAGAGCCGGAATTGCGTGGACGACTTTTTATTACGAATCAGCACGAAACGACGAAATTTCGCGCGAGGAATTTAATTGGAACACATCTAAAAGTGGAAAAGCAACCAGCGAAAATTGTCGCATGAATTTGTCAGAATCGCAATTACAAAGGTATTTTGATCGGACGAAATTCACATGCATCCATAGGCGAAACCTTATAGCAGCATAAATTCATTGGCGATCGGTTAAATTGGATATATTGCATTATATTTGTTTGTATATATTATTATATATACAGACAAATATAATGCAATATATATTTATCTGTATAAAGCCAATATTTGCTGTAAATTAAATTCAAATGCATTGTCCATACACTCTAATGATAGGATGAGAGGCCATATTGACATATCAATCGTTCGATTACACTTGATTGAATACATATACGTATTAAATCCGATGATACTTTGGCTTCTTAAAATATCTTTTCTTACTTCTAGTACAAACTTCACAATTGAAATAAAGAAATTCAGATAAAATTTATTTTTTATTTTTTAATCAATGTAATAATAGCCTGGAAGAAAAATTAATTTCTTAGACTTTGAGTTTTCTTTTAATTAATTAATTGTCTTTTATTCTCAATTAATCGTTATAACATTAATTGGACTCGTTAAGAATTCTATTAAAATTTAATAAAATAACGTAAAAGTTTTTCCTAAAAATCATTTAAATTTTGATTGTAACGTGGACACTGTCAATAATGTATGGTCTTTCACCCTATTGGAGAAGGTACGAAAATTCGCTGACAACAACGTGATGTCGACATCAATAATATTCGCGCGCTATCGCTCAATCATAATGTCGATACCCCTTAACATATATCTTGTAATACCTTGAATGTACACTTCGAGAGGGCGAGAAAAAGCCTATAGACTCGTATACTACGCGACTTTAAGACATTAATAAATGCGGTCTGTTTCAGGCGGGAAAAGTCGATACCTCGGTAATGTAAGTCTCTCGACCGAGCCTCGTTTTACGGTGAAACGTTAAATGAAGCGGCGCGTATACAACTTTGTGGCCGTCTCTTGTAATCACGTAGGCGGCAAATGGCCACGCGGTTGCAGCAGCTATTCCAGCCAAGTCGTGGCTGGCCCAAGATGGGCCTCTATTGGACTTACGCAGCTCATTTCTGCTTTCATCGATGTATCGTTATATACATGCCACGTGTTCGTGCTACTCGTCGAATCGATGATCGTCATCTTTTATCGGTATCACGCGATACGTACTTTCCCACTTCAATCTACATTTGCGAATTACAAATGCCATTTCAATTATTTTCGTTTTGTCGATTAGGCTTCCCCGGAAATATAATTTCGACCGACGAACCTTCCCTAAAGTTCGTGAGGGGTCTTTTGAGAATAATTTATATGATAATAATAGCTCTGGGGGAAAGTAGAGCGTTATTAAATAGGTAGCTAACGACATTCGCTGTTTTATTATTCGTTAAAAGAGAGGATATTACTGTAAAACTTTGTCCAGTTCTAAATATATAGATTAAATGACAATTATCTTCGCATTGTATATACGTCAATATGTAAGATAACATTATCGTTATTTATTTCATCTAATATAATATATTCACACGTGATATGCATAACTCTTACGATCTTATCTGCAAGAGGTGATTTGCACTTATCTTTTTCATATGACGTATATCATGCTGATAGTACTATTTAATCGGAGATAACGCGATCTAATACTAGCGGACGAGCACGTTACCGAGTTTTCTCTCTACAATTTTTTTTTTCTTAAGACTGACAGCTACATCCGCATTTCGCGAGTGTCACACGAGCGTGGATCTATGATTTTAAAGTTGCAGGCTCTACATACCTATCCTAATTTAATCCGTATTTTATCTATTCAGCTTTTTCTAGCATCCGATAACGCAGATGATATCACCGATTCGCGCATGTCGATCTTTCGGCGGAAATTTAATTTGCGACATACGATTGCCTTTTCGATGAAGTTCCGTTACCGATTCGCAATTTTCACTGAGAAATCATGCTTCGCGGAGAGGAAATTGCGAGATCTCACGAATTCTGCATATCATAGTTTATTTTTATCGCATTATCAGTCAAGTGATGGCAAGTGAGTTTTATAAAATGGATCGCGAGACTTTGAACATCTTAGACATTTAGCGATAACAATTAATAAGATATCGCCAGTAGAGCTTTTGAAAGCTATTTTAAAAGCCATTTACATTTCATATCGCAAAGACAATTTTAGAATACACACAATTGTATATAAATTTCAATTTAATTTTTTTAATTTTAACTTGTGCAAGAGCTATTTATATTTGGGATCGTTCACGATGTCGCGAATCGCTATCGAATGCATCGATGTTTCAACCGTTTATTGAAAATTAATTATTAATCCTTCGCGGTCCAAATTATTTCTCACAAATGAACCAAGATCAAGTATCTTGGTCGTTCTCAATCTTATATAATTGATTGGTCTAACGTGAATCAAAGAATTTTTATGTTTACTTGCAGGAATTTATGAAGAGTCCAAAAATATATTAGTGATTATTATCTCCCATAATCAAATTCGAATGCCCAAGGAACTATATAAGATATATTATCGTGACGCATTACGAGTCAACATAGGAGTAACATAGAGGACCGCAAAGAGTTAAGAAGAGACTGTTTCCTCTCGCAGGCGGGCACGAGGACGAGTCCTTGGAACGACGAGAGACGATTTTCTCGTACTCACAATTACAATCCAGTCATCAGATGGGCGTAGACACGTATTTGGGATCCCTGGCTTCCAGTTTCGCAGCGACTGATCGTGTCCGTTGTGTCGACCGCACGATAGCCCGCCGCGACGAACGGCGCGAAGCACTGCCGTGCGCGACAATGCCGAGTGTCGCGCGCACGCGAATTGTTTTTCGCCGGATGAGTCCGCGTAGCCGCGGGTATGTATTTTATCTGCGAGCTTGCGTGCTGACGAGGAATCAGCCGCGACGGCCGCGCGTACGCCCGCTTGAGGTGCAACACACGGCATTGTTCGCGGACGTAAACATAGGGGAGACAATGGCACGGAGAGGGGCACCGATTAAAAAACACCGATCCGTTGCTTTTACGAAACGCAAAGAACCGCTGGATCATCTCGCTCGTTTATAGTACTCATTATATTCTGCGACGATCGCATATGTGTATAATAACTTAACGACGTAATCCGCGCGATTGTCATGTAATCCAAAGTCTGCGACGAGGAGGCTTCCTTTCATCAAAATGCGAAACTAAAACTCGTCTATTTTATTTATATTTGGAAATAAAAATTAAAAAGCTACATATATTTATATATATATATATATTTATATACAATATTTTATACATTAAAAAGACAGTTAAGTTAAAACTCATATGAATTGTTTTAATATTTATATAGAAATGTTCCTTAAATTAAGGAACACTAGTAATTTTATATATATATAATTATAATTATAATTAAATATTTCTCTGAATAGTATAAAGAGAATTCATGAGTTTTAACTTTTTTTTCTCGTAAACATTCTCCGTGCTGATGAAATGTGTTTGATCAGACAGCCGGTCTCGAATACAACACTAACGAGCGATAAATCAAAGCGAAATTGTGTTATTCAATGTCGTAACGATCTCGCCGGGGATCTTAAAGTAACGTGGCGAGCTTATAGTTCGTCGATATCGTGACGTCGCGAGACATTTTCATTCACGAAACTGCTCTATTTATGCTATTCCTAACATTATACAACGAGCAAACTTGAATGAACGCGGTTGTTGCAGCCGCGCGTATATATATCGATCGGACGATTTGGCAGCCTAAAATCGAAGCTTGTCCGTATAATTTATTATCGACGATCACGCAGATGATGAAATTTCGATATGATATTGATAAATGTGAATGAGTGCGTTTTTTAGATATTGCGTTAATATATATAACGCATATTAATATGTAATTTGTCGTATTATAATCTATTTAATATGTAATCTGTCATTTTAATCTTTCCATTCGTATTCAGTATTCGAAAAATGTAGATAAGATGGGAAACATATTTGTCTGAAAATAAAAATTTGTTATTGTCTTTTAAGAGGTAACAAGTTTTAAAAAAAGAGCCCTATGAAACAAGATTGAAATATATTAGTAATGCTAAATATGTATATTTGATAATTGTACTATTATCAAAGATTACTATTATCAAATATATATGTTAAAAATTTGTATTGTGTTGATGACTAAATGCTGATAAACGCATCCTTAGATTCAAAGTTAAGGCTTCCTAGTTTATCATTAGTATCGCGCTGATGGCCGATACAATACAATAAAAATGTAAGATAAAATCTCTTTCGTGGAAACAAACGTGCGCTGAAAAATGCAATCGTCATCTGAAAGCGTTTTTTGCATTATTTCATGTGTATTATTCTTTACATTATATTAAAAGTACAAGTATAATCGATATTTTCAACTGTATAATTCGCACGCATGAGTAAAATACGAGCGGTGCAACCGAAATATTTTTATGCGATTGATAATACGGCCATGATTGCGCGCCGTGTTGCAGCCATTAGACCAGTGGCTCCATTGCTCCAACCGAATTCACTGTGGAACTGGCCAGCTGGCGCTCGCGAACGATTATTTTCAAATATAATCACTGTTGACACATAACCTCACATAACCTTCGTGGAGAAGTCAGTTTTAATCAATTATAATAATGGTAAGCTTGGTATTTTTATTACAATTCAAGAGCCGGCTTCGCACGTTTAATACGCGTTATATTTAACTTTTGTTTCCAGTTACCTCTGACTTTGCTGAAAACAGCGCAAAACCACCCCATGGTAGGTTCCTGAGTTTTTCTGTAATATCTTTCGAAGACAAACGTTTAAGGAGCCTTCGCACATTGCTACATTGTAATTCAACCAAGTCTTTTATCGCAGTTGGTGGAGCTGAAAAACGGGGAGACGTACAACGGCCACTTAGTCAGCTGCGACAACTGGATGAACATAAACCTCAGAGAGGTTATATGTACTTCGAGAGTAAGCGCCTTACCGTGTGCACGTTGATTCTAAAAAGACCCCTTGGAAACCGAAGAAAAAAAGACAAATATATAAATAAGAAATAAAAGAAATACAGTTTAAAGTATAACTTGTTAGGGTAGATTTTCAGACTATGCATGTAGACATTACTTTAATTTACTCATAAATTGTCATATATTTATGTGTATATTAGGAGGGATGCGTCCCTCTCGTTCTCCCTTCACTGCTAACGATTCCTGAGTTCAAGTGTAATTAGATCTGTGAAGTAACTAGAAAGATTGCGTCGGAACGAGATGGTTGAAATTGTTTCTTTCGTGATAAAAGCTGAAGCTGAATAAAACTTATTATTGGTATATATTAGATACTTAAAGTGTTCAATATTGGCGTCTAGTATATGCTGGTATATAGACATTTACTTCATATGTCTTACTTTTTTATCAGAAGTATTTTTAGTTGTAATTGAGTAGGCCTAGAAAAGAGTTAAGCTATAAAAGACTCGACTCGTTAAAATCTGTCAATTGTATTAGGATGGAGACAAGTTCTGGAGGATGCCGGAATGCTATATAAGAGGCAGCACAATAAAGTATTTGAGAATTCCTGACGAAGTGATAGACATGGTGAAGGAAGATATACAGATGAAATCGAGGGGCCGCGGCGAGATGAAGGGTCGAGGCCAGAATCAGAGGGGCCGCGGTAGTGGTAGAGGTAACGATCTTGCTTTTATGAAATTATAAACTCTATCCAGGAACCGTCTCTAAGTGTGCTTTCTCCAAACTGTTGATTTTTGAGTAATTTTTTCCCTCGACAAAAATGTCAAAATACTTCATGTTGTTTATGAACTAAAAGTAGCTGAAAATGAAGGGCTTTCTGAAAACCAAACGTTGAAGGGACAAGTAAATGAGATCGTGTCCTTATGAAAAATATTCTGTATTCATATTATCTTTTTAGAAGATAATGATCAATGAGAATCTGATCTTTAGAGTAGTTTGTTGATCGTTGTTCATTATACGTTGCAGGTACCTTCGGCAGAGGAGGAAGAGGTTCAGCACCGTTGGGTCGTGGAAGTGGTGGCACACAAGTCGGCAATAAATCACAAAATAAACCGAGACCTAAGTGAATCTAAATAGTATTTTTATTCAATTTCGGTTGCATCCATCTAGCAGATACCTCAAAAATATTAATCTTCCGTAGTGATTCTTCACTATCGAATTCTTTATTGTTTCATATAATTTTATATGTACAAATTAATATCTTGATTTATATGATTACTAAAAAAGCACATTGCGTTTATGTCATGAATGACTTAATTCTACGTACATTTCTTACATTACCGTAAACTATATGTTCTATATATTTTTTTTATTAAGGATCTGTTTTCTATTAAGGATGCACTTAAAAGTCTACAAAAAATCTTTCTCGTTGAACCCCTTTTTGCAAATTGCATTAGTTATATAAAAGGATGTCTTTTTTTTGTTATAAGAATTGCAGAGCCGTTAGAACAAAACTAACGATGCATGATATGCAACTCTACACGATTAATTTCAGAAAAAATCATGTTCTAGTATATGTGAATATTTTTGTAAACGACGATATGTATCTTGCTTTAGTTAGTCACTTCATACTGAAGTTGGAAAAATTAACTTATCTTCAATTGTTATCTTTAAACTATCAGGAAAGTTATCATCTATTATAAGAAATAAATTTGCGTTTATAAAAGGAAATTTTTATTTTGGTCGTTCACGTTCTTACAGGATTATATAACGACTCTCTTTCACTCTCACACTCTCTCTCTCTTTGAAATATATCTACTATACAGAGCACTTAGTTTCTAAGAAATGGAATAAGACATGTAATATACATTTTTATTAATAGCTTTTATTGTATGGCTGTCAGAATAGCTATGATTAGATTAGTATTATTATGGTACGATTACGTCAATCGATCATATATAGTATTCGATATCATTAAGAAGAGCGGATAAACTTATACAAAACACGACTTTTTGCAGTGAATGCAATTACATTTCTTTTATATATCGTAATTATTATTTGGTGCCCATCCTTGTGTTATGAATAGGTGGAATAAGACGTTACTGCAAACAAAAAAAAAGAATGAATTATTTAAATACAGTTCTAAAGATTACTTCATATTTAATCCAACTGATCAAATGTACTCACTTAAATTATGTGCCTTAAAAAATATTGTGACTTAGTGCATTTTAATTCATCGTCCCTCAACTGAAAGTAAAAATATCAGATTAAAATATACTTTTAATACAGCATCGTCGGATAACAAGTATAAATTGAGTTTCCGAAAACTTGAACTTACTGTATGAAGCGAGATCGATTTCGTCCGGTAATTCTGTAATATTTACGTCAAACCTTTCTTGAACATCATTTAATATTTTGGCGTCACTTTCATCGCTCACCAATGTAATAGCAAGACCCTGTAGAACAATCCCAGATGAGTAATTAGCGGTTATGTTAAAAGTTCTAAGATTCAAAATAACTCTGCAGTTCGAATCAATTGCCAACAAAGTCAATATTAAATGCTTCGCTTTTATTTTAATTTTATCAGCATAATATATAACAATTTACATTAAGGAATTTTATAGAGATTCCAAAAATGTTTTTGTTTACACATACATCGTGCTCGAATACTCAATAAATTATTTATTACCTTTGTACCAAAACGACCAGCGCGTGCCACTCTATGCAGATATGTGTCGGAATCTTCTGGCATATCATAGTTGAATACAATGTTGACACGTTCTATATCCATACCTCGTCCGAACAAGTTTGTCGCCACTAAGATACGCTGAAAAGGTCATTCATTTTTCAATCACATCTCACATGATCTATTTAATCCGATTTATATTATACATGTCTACATATATAATATAAATCAAACCTCATGGAACTCGAGGCATAAACTACTTACTTTCTGGAAATCTTTGAACTGTTGATATCTGGACAGTCGCTCCTCCTGCGTCATGCCCCGATGAATCCCGATCGCAGGGAAATTCTGTTCCGTCAAAAGTTGCGCTAAAGCCATACATCTTTGTACAGACTTCACAAATATGACAACCTATGCAGAGCAATTATAAGATAAATCGTATTGACAATGGATGCATCCAGGAGCACTGCTGACCCAGTCGTGCTATTGGATGCACCTAATACCATTGGTGTATCTCTAGAAGAAACATTTCCGACTCAACTTTTCGTTCTTAATGTTTTCGTCAAATACTAAAAATTTTATTAAATGAATTAAATGTGTAAACCATTAATAAATTTTGTTAAGTAAATACTTGGAAGAATCTTCATCAGAATTGGTGAGTAGTGATAAGAGATAGTCATCACAGGGTGGTAAGAAAACTTGTATCATCATGTAAAGATTCTCCGCGATAAGGAAAATGTGCACATCCACCGTAGATTGTCCCCAATTTGCAAACAAACCTGATTAAACTCAAGAACGTCAAGTAGTTCAAACAACTTCTTGTTCTTCTCGTTCTCCTTCAATTTAACGTAATGTTGCTGGAGACCGTTCAAAGTGAGCTTTGCCTCGTCATCGACATAGACCTCCATGGGCTGCACAAAGAATGTTATCTTATAAAACAAACAAATCCATGAAATAAGTTATAGTGCCTAGCATGTAATTCTCAGGCTGCAGGCTTTTGCGGGTATCCGTAGTCATGATGTTTTTCGCCGTCTAACAGTCGAATGTAATCGAATGTATGAAGGGACGTTCGTTCAAAAACCAGTAAAAAAAAAAAAGAAACTAAAATGATACTATTCCTTGATGCAACTCATTTGCAAGAATAAAAAGTTGGCGTTTTATAAATATTTTAAACAACACAAAAAAATAAAGACAAAAAACCATCTCTTTTCTTTTAAATATAAACTTCCAAGTATTTTTTTTTCTTCCTTCGGAGATGGATTCGTTAGATTCGAAAAGTTACCGTATACGTCCATAAATATCGAAAGTCCCAGCAAGAAAGACTCCCGCATTTCAGTTGCGGAGTATAATCGTCGAGCGTGATTAGTCATACAGATTACATACGGTCCGGCGACCTCCATCTCTGGGTAGTGACAACAATGAAAACTCAGCAGTTCGCCCCAACTGAACTTAAGAAGGCGGCACTCATGACAGAGAACGTTCGGTCACATCCGCTGGCCACTCGATGCCAAAATCTCTTCTCCAAAATTTCTGGCACACTAAGAAGATGCCCAGAATCGACTCGTATTACTCCGGTTGGTATAGACGCTCGGCTTTTTCACCTCCGGTAATCCGCTAAGCCGCGACCCCGACTTCCGTCACTCGTGCGAAATAAAGAGCGCGATTCATGATACACGAAGATTCGCGTTTTAGGTTTCGCGTGATTTTAACGGCTCTCTACGACACGAAATCGCTCGATTTGCGCACGGCACTTGCATCCTTAACTTCACTCGTACTAAAAGACCGTTATCGAAATATTTGCAAGAGATAAGAGGACTAATGCAATATACTTTTAATTTGCGATTGAATGAACGCGAACACGATAGAGCTATGCTACGCTTGCATTTTATATTTCTTTTCCCTGACTAATCCTAATCATTCCCCTGAGTATCCTCTTGCATCTTCTTTCTTGCGCTCTTCTGTCTTCAGGTTGTCTTCAAGTCTTCTTGGCCCCCCACCCTCTCAATAGCAGGCAAATCATACAGATTCTAATTCTAATGCTCTGATTACTCATAAGAACGTAGAAATATTTCATATCCCTATCTCTCTCTCTCCCCCCCTCTTATATTTCCTGACATCAATATCTTTATACTGTTGTCCCTTGAATATGCGTAGTAACTAGCAAATTAAAGGACTTTATTATCGACTGGTACTCTATTTCGGACCGTGTTTTGAACGACTGAAGACTCGATTTTAGACAAAGATTCTTCCCCTTCATATGCATATGCAGATGATGTGACACATCCAGAATGTTTAGACTCGGAATTGGAATCGGAAGGAGTAGCGAGATATTATGTTGGACATGAGTGTCAAGCATATGACTGCGCCGTTTATCGAACGAGATTAATTTTTTTTTTAACTCGGCACTCGTTTCTTCAAAGCGCCGTCTAAGTTGCCTAACCCGCGGATGCGCCGATATTGATATTTATAGCGTGGCCTGAGCTTTGTCCTGGGCAAGAATATGCCAATGAGGTAGGAGCAATTGCAGTAGATCGAAGTGAAGAGGAAGATTGTGTAATTACATCTTGCATGAACTTTTTGCAGACAGGACGTATCTCCTTGGACAGGGTGGCACTGAACATCATGACTTGCTTGCTGTGCGGTGTGCTTCTGAATATTTCCTGTACGTCCCGGCGCATATCTGTAACAGCAATGCGACATAACCAATTATTTATCAATCAAAATGAAATGTTAAATATAGAGTAAATTTTGAAGAATCGCTCAGTTAATAGTGGGTAGTGGAAAATGTAGTCATCATGATGAATTAAGATCGTTTCATACATCATGTAGATTCTTCTCGATAAAATATTCTTTTTTGAAATTGGTGAGTTGTTTATGACGAACCTAATAATTCGAGCATTTTGTCGCATTCGTCCAGTATAAAGTGTTTCAGGTGTTTCAGATTCAGTTTCTTGTTCCGTACAAGGGCGAGGATACGACCGGGAGTGCCGACAACGATATGAGGACATACAGTTTTCAAGACCTCTTCATCTTTCTGGATAGGTAAACCACCGAAAAATACGCCAACCTGTAATAAAAGAAATTTTGTCTTAGACTAAAAATATATAAACCTTTATATAAAAATATACTGTTGTGACAAGTTCATTGAAAGTTGTTTAACGTAGAAAGTATATGTAAAATAATTTTATAATTAAAGAATTTATGTATATATTAATATAAAATTTTGTAAAAAGGAAACTTGTGCAAAAAATCTTATATTTATTATTATACTTATTTGTACGTAGCGTGCACAGAATGAAGACTTTGAGGAACTTACCTTTACATGTGGCATGTACTTGCTAAACCTCTCGTATTCTTTACTGATTTGGAAAGCCAATTCTCGAGTGTGACACATTACTAAGACGTAGACTTGATTCTCCGTTAATTCCAGCTGTTGAAGAGTAGCTAATACGAATACGGCTGTTTTTCCCATACCCGATTTCGCTTGACACAGTATATCCATGCCAAGAACCGCTTGAGGGATACATTCATGTTGTACTGTAAGCAGCAAATATTTATATACCGTTAATTTATTATGCAAAAAGTATCACACAGTTAAAAATAGAATGAAACAGAATACATCAGAAATGCTTATTTCGATCAAGAAAATTTCAGTTGTCCCTATCTAGCATTAAAGATACTCATCACCTGTACGTCTGAATAAGCAAAGATAAAAAATAGAAATTGTTACAATGAGACGATCATTCACCTTCGGATGGATGTTCAAAGCCACAGTCGACAATGGCACGAAGAATCTCCGGCTTGAGAAGGAAGTCTCTAAACCCACTGCTGTGAATGGAGACATACGTGCCCTTCACCTCCTTCTTAGCAGGAACATCTCCGCTTCCGTCGACTACCTGCTCAGTCTGTTCCTCATCTTCGTAATCCAGAAGATCATCATTATCCGCCATTGTAGCCCGGCTAATCACTTCGATAGAATCACTAAAATTGAGACAAAATTCGCGATGCAATAATGCAAATCATAGAAAATACTCGACTTATAATAGAAAATCAAAGTTACTACAAATAAAAAAAGAAAGAGAAAAAGAGGGATTGAGTTTTACGAATTAACTCCTTCTTTTCTTCATTTTCCATGTATATTCTTATCACAAATATAACAAATGTGCATACATAATAAATTATATATTAAGTATATACATATCACACATAATTAAGCAAAAATCTCTAAAAAATATAAACATCCAATATCGAGTACATAAGAATATCAAAAATAAAATAAGCACATAAATTAAGTCAAATTATATAAAAATTATTCACACAAAAAACGAATCAATAATCAATCTACTTGTTCAAGGCTCGCAACGTGAATCATCACTGAAAATTTGCAACAAAGATATAAATTTGCTAAATCAACATTATATTTCGATCATATAGGACCCGTTTTCCATAAATAACGCCACGGCGAGTTACCTACGCGAACATAAATACACGTGTATTACCGCCGCAAATATATCGCTCCGAAAATAACGATTTCGCGGAGAAGCGTTCGCGTAATGGCGGTCGCCTCCAAAGTCCAACGCCTCGCGCCAACGGGGACCGGTCGGTCCGCGGAAGCCGCGCGGTATCGGAACAATCGCGAAACGTAGGGGGTCGGCGACGAGACCGCGACGGCGGGGTGCGGACACGCTTGTCCCGCGCGATATATTTACAAGTTTATCGGGAATCGACGGCGCCACGCGACGCCGAGATGCCAGTCGTTCGCGCGCGTCCCAAGGATGATCCGGCGATGCAGCGGCTGCACTTACGGACGCGAGCGCGGCGAAAATACGGAATCCCGCCGACGATCGGAGACACGCGGAATATTATTTCGTGCATTTCGCGAACGGATCGCTTTTTCATTGACGACGACGACGCGGATTACAACGGCGCGTTTCCGATCACTCACCTCCTCGTGATCCCGGCGGGCTGCAAAAATTGCTGTAAATGAATCGACGCCACGAAACGAAATGCCTCGCAGCAGATGGCACAAGTCGCACTCGCGCCTATGACGAAGAATTCAACATAGAGCGGCACCGAGCGGTACGAGTAATGGCGGATCCACAGCGTAGCTCACATCTCATATCCGAGAATTGGCCGCGTTCAGCAGACACAACTGTATAGTTCGTCTTATCAACACTCTGCGTTGATTGGTTGGTTCTAAAAGTAAGAGCCAATCACGTTCGACTGCTACTGAGTGGCTTGGTCTGCTGAACGCGCCCAAAAAACGCCAAACGATTGTCCATGTCGCCGATTGGCCGAGACAATATTGGGCAGCCTTCTGATTGGTGTAATACCGGCCGCACTCATTGGTTACTGGAGGTCGGAAAGAGTCTTACGTTGAGATAGAAAAATTGTTTGCTCATTTTCTTTATTTTGTATCTTCGGGATGAAAAACTATATCGCGAAGGACAGATATCATATTACGATGTAACGACATCGGCGCATATTGCTGTTCAATTAAAAAATATATAAATATAATTAAATTTAAATATAATTTAAATATTTATATAGTTAGACTTTTTTAACAGGCATCTCAAACAATCGATAGAAAAATATAGCAACGATACTCCGCATGAGTATGTGCGATTGAAATATGTAATTAGAATACGGATTGCCCGAACACGGTTGCTCGGCAGGCGGGCGAGCGTATAACGTAAACGAGACGCGTGTAAAAACATTTATGTATTTTTATTAACATTTTTTACATTGTTTTTTTTTTTATAGTTACATTATGATCTGTGCTTCGCATTTATTTTATACAAAGATAGATATAATAGGTAGACAGTAATGCGCGTATCACCCCCCACTGCGTTAACCGCGTGAGGCGCACTTCCTCGCGAAACATTTCAATTTCGTAAACGATAATTTTTTTTCTTTTTTTTGTCCATATCCGTTTTGTATTTATATATATTTATATATATAAATATCGATATTTCCGTGTATCACTTTGCAATTTCAAACGGAAATACTTTTTCTAAAGTTCCGCCGTTCTCCGTCGGTCTTTGCTTCCATTTCTCTTTTCTTTTTCCTCATGTTTTTTTTTATTTCCATCAAACTGCCGTTCACACTGACAAAATTGTACATTCGACGCAACTTTACGCAACAGCAATCCATTGTACAATGTGCGATATAGCAATTTTCATATAACGTCATTGACTAACACAATCTTATAATCATTCCGTGTCGAAACACTGAAATTAAAGCAAATAAACTGGGTCCATTAGAAATATTAAAAAATAATAATAAAAAAAATTTTATATAAATATCTCACGGCCTCTTGTTGATTATATCTTAAACATTACTTCACAATTCTATTACAATACGAATTATATTTCAGTTCCTTTTCTTGATTGGAGATTATGCATCTTAATATTTGGAACTTGATTTCATCATAATTTATAGTAAATCAAGAAATAATAAAATCAGTTATACGAATTCGGTTTTTCATAAAAATTATGCGAAATTAGTTTTAACAAGGCCAAGTAGGGCATATGTTTATGAACCTTTTTGATCACTTTCCACAAGAAAATCTTAAAAATTTGTAATTTAGGGTGTAATTAAAATATATACAACCACTGACAAAGTTATTAGGTACCCTTTTTCCTCTCAATATCTTGGAATTGAATAAGCGTAAGCTTTTTGTTGTTCTCATCCTTATTAGCTGTGAATAGTTCAAACAATTGAGGTACAGAGTCCATTATCTTTTTTAGGGAAACAGCAATATTACTTAGAAAACTGTTCACTTCGTATTTCGATTTTAATTAATACGGGAATAATCGTGCCTGTATTAAAATATGAAGTAATATTGCTGTCCCTCTAAGAAAGATAATGGACTTATACCCAACTGTTTGAACCATCCACATGATCAATAAAAATGAAAACAACACGTAAACAGAATATTCATTCGTTCCAGGATATTCAGAAGAAACGAGGATGCCTAATTTTGTCTATGGCTACATATATATACACAATAGTATATATATTTATTATATATACTATATACATATAAAGTATGTACACAGCTAATTTTGCCCATTTATAACCAAATATATGCCCTTTGTGTATATTTAGTTGTACAAAAAATTGTCATGCAAATAAATTATAATTGTGATGATATAAAACTCATAAACTTTTTTCGAATCAGTCAAACTTGTATATGCTTCCAAATGCGCACTTTATCAATGTGAGCCCCAGCAAAATACATTGATTATTTTCAGTACTTTTCACAGTCTCGACTTTATCTCTTGCTATCACTCATTAATTTTATAATCTTCAAGCTGCAATTGAAACCTATCTCGATCACTGACATTAATATCAAAGGAATTGCAGCAAATTCATAACAAAATAACTAACTAGTCAGGCAACAGTTAGGCACTATTAACAAATTACTCTGTACATATATTACGCCCTTAACGGACATACTGTCAATAGGCTGTTGGAGATCTCATTGTAGTTATCTCACAATGTGGAAAATAAATTTGTTAAAAAATAAATGGTTTCCAAGCAGAAATAATCTTGTTGCAACACAAAGTTTATCCATCGCGATACATTTTACTCATAAATAACCTAGCTAAATAAATCAGCTCTTTCAAGAAAATATAGAGAGTAGTCGTATGATGTTGCAACCGAAAAACACCATTTGTGCACGTAGAAACATATAATCTCTTTGACATTAATGTCGTCCGTTTTTACCCCGATGTAGTAGAGCATAGATGTTACATCTCTTCAACATTGTAATTATTTAAATACCTATTGACATAAGCACGCGGATGAATTTCACCTGAGCCATAATTTCAGTCGCAACGCATCCACGCCATTTAAGTAATATCGAAATAATCGTTTGTCCCGCACAAATCCAAGATTTTCGTACAGGCGCAGCGCGGGCCTGTTAGTGATTTCCGTTTCCAGAACTACCTCGTCAGCGTCGTCCTCCACCATCGCCTGGATAGCTTGTCTCACCAGGTTTGATCCGATCTTCCGTTTCCGATATTTCACATCGACCGCCAGCATTGCGATATAGCCACGCTTTATCACCTTCCTGTGGATGTCTAGTTTGCAGACAATGGCACCAACGCATTCTTCACCATGCATCGCCTTGACGAACAAAAAAAGAGCTTTCTATAAATTCTATGCCTGAGAGAGTCAAGAGAGATATTTTGAGCTAGGTTCTCTACAATTCTTTCACAAGTTTGATATAAAAATTTTTAAACAACATAAATGTATTTGAAATGCTCCGTAGCGAATTTTACAGAAACTGCAATGTCTTTATTGGCGTTATACGAACGGCACACTTGTGAGAAAACACATGTATTAATTTGAATGCGCTAATGTAAGCTAGAGATTTTCTGAAGAGCACGTACCAGGAAGCACAATTTCGGCCAGTTATGAATAAAATATCTATATGTGTAAATAGAATATGGTTCACTTAGGTCCTTCTGTATTAATTTCATAATATCAGGCATTTGTAATTCACTTGTATAGCTAACATATTGGATATCGTTGTCTTTACTTTCCATGGATAATCCAGCTTGTTCTGTAACATAACAAGAAGCGGTTTTCATCCATTCCCAGCATGCGTCGTTCAGTACGTAAGAATTATTCTAGTCAAGCAAGATTCTTTTTTTCTAAACACAATAGTATCAGATTTAACATAGTAATTTAAAAACTTGACAGACAGAATTCAAGATGTAAAAGAAACGTTTTAAACCAGAGTTTGATTGAATATCTCCTATCGATAAAAGAAAATGCACAAGTCCATCGTGTAAGATCGGCAAGTTCCAAGGACCTTTTACAAGAAATGGATAACAAATGGATAACGAACAATGAAATATTTTTGGCATACTTGTACATAGGAGCGTTTCTATTTTATCGTTATGTACCGAGTCTATCTATTGCACCGTGAGTAAGCAGGCGAGTAAGTTGTATACCATGTTGGTTTAAATGACTAGTTTCCATTGTTTTAGATTGCGGGGGATGATCGGTTACGGCGGCAGTTCTTTGAGGGGAGTCGCAGATACCGTTCACCTGAACCACCCCGTTGACGTGCGGCTCGCTGCAAGCCTCCGTGGTCTCCAAACTGAGACGTGACTTGATGTCTAAGGTTGTGACGTCCGCTATCGAGTCACGTTTCATCGCCTTGATTTTGCCAGCCGCCTCCGGGCCGCTCACTCCCGCGCTATTATTCTCCACCATCTTGTCCGTATCCATTTTTTCAATTTTCCCTACTTCCTCGAGCTCCGAAAATTCACCTTCCGCGCGCTGAAGAGGGCAACGGAGGGATCTCGACCGCGCGCGCTCTCCCGTCCCTCTCGACGCACTCGATCTCTCCCCTTCACGGCTGCCGATCGTGCGCGAGACACAGTGGCATGGGAATTTTCACGTGCGGCCCGGCGCTTTCAATCGAATTTTCATAATTATTGCTAGCCACGCGGTCGCCGGACAATGATTCTATCCCGAAATACGGACATCCGAAGTAAACCGCTGAACGACGGACACCATATTGGATTTTCTGCGGTGACTATTCAGTCGCGGAATATGATCTTTCTCGAGACTCGCCCGCGAACGGGAGAAATGGTTCCCGTTTGAGACCACCGTTGCGATTGGCCACAGCCACTCACAGCCTCCGGTGCCTGGAGTTTTTCCACTGGATCAACCAATCAGATATTTCTATTTTAAATCAGCCAATTGACGAAATAAACCAAAGTTCTTCACCTTTATCGTGGAAAGAGAAATGAAGGACTCTGATTGGTTCGTTCCCTTATGCAATATACATTATATACGTCATGTCAAAGTCTGTTCTCTCGGTGTCCGGTGTTCTCCGCTTTACTCCGATGACCTCCGATTAAAGGGAGAGATTTAGCGATGTTTATTACATAGAATAACACGTTGCATGAGAAAAATAAATGGGAAACTGTGTTATATTTATGAGTTTAACAGTATATGAAATAGCGGACGAGAAAACAATGTTTTAAAGGTGTAATAACATTTATATCCTAATCAGTCTAATCTCTATCGTCTCCTATGAAATCTGTTGTAATAATTTTGTAAGCTATATTTGCGTTCTCCCGTCGTCTAAAACGTGTTGCAGCTGTCGGAGCTTCGCGAATTTATTGTTAAAATAAAGTGCGTCAGACTTTTCACGAACATGGCTCTAAAACACGTAGTGGTAGGTGAGTATGCTCGCAAATTGGTCTATTACAATTTCATAACGTCGCGAGAAATTTATGCAACAAAGTCTCTCACTTCACATAGTAAGATTACATAATAATTTTCAGGCGGTGGTACTGGCTTCATAGGATCGCAGTTAATAAAATCATTGAGCCTCGAGGGTATCTCCTGTACGTGTATCTCTCGAATGCCAGGACCGAATAGAATATCATGGGTATAGATCAAATAAGAGAAACGAAACTTGCATGCCAATCAGTAAGAATCAATTCAATTATAACTGTTGTAAAATCTGTAGAATGATTTAGAGCGCTACGGCCTACCAGAGGACACATCGGCCGTCATCAATGTCGCTGGACAGAACGTGCTGGATCCTACCCAGAGATGGTCACCTGGGTTCAAGCAGAACGTTAGGAACAGCAGGGTGAAGACAACGAAGGCTCTAGCGGACTCGATACAGAATACCAAAGCCAAAGTTTTTGTGTCTATATCGGGAGTCGCCTACTACAAACCCAACGACACCGTATACACGGAAGAGAGCGAATGCGAATCATACGATTTTCTATCAAGTAGAATCTTATTTCCTATATGCGTAACGCGACACTTATATCTGTAAATTAATTGTCAATTTTGTCAGGGCTCTGTCACGATTGGGAGGAAGCGGCAAAATTACCGGAAGACAGCAACATTAGACAAGTGACGATAAGATCTGGTGTTGTATTAGGAAGAACCGGCGGCATGATCAAGCAAATCTATTTACCGTTCTTTTTCGGTCTCGGTGGGCCAATAGGAAGTGGAAATCAATACATGCCCTGGATACATATCACTGACTTGGTTTGCATGTTTATATTTGCGCTTAAACACAGCAATGTACACGGTATATTGAATGGAGTAGCGCCTCAGGTAATACGAACGGTTTTACATGGTTCTCTAATTGAAATATATAATTGTTAATTGTGTTATGTATCGCTCTATAGCTTATAACAAACAACGAGTTTACGAAAGCGTTTGCAGCAGCAATGAACAGACCCGCGTTTATACCTCTTCCAAGTTTCGTTTTGCAAATATTATTCAGTGAAGAACGAGCGAAGGTGAGTTTATCATATATTTAACAAGCTTGATATGTAGTTTTAATAATTTGATACTTGTTTTCGCGTTTCAGATCATGTTGGAAGGACAAAAAGTTACACCAAAGCGCGTTACGGAGCTAGGCTTTCAATATCAATTTCCAGATATCGAGACCGCTTGTAAGCAGCTCGTTCAATGAACTAGATGCTTTGTAGAAAGATTTATTTAATTGTTGTCAAAATCGATAGAGATGCATTATTATTATTATAACGTTGATATATAGTAACATATGTTATTCTGATTGTTGATAACAGATTTGTTGATAACTGAT